TATTTAACCTAGACTTGGTAATGTACATAATTTCATAAATGAGGTATGATAGTGGCTGGACAGATGGATCACTGGTTAGGATCCACAGGATCTGAGCTCAGCTCCAGCTCCGGCATGACTGGCACCCAACACAGGTAGCATACATTCAAACAGGCACACATGCACACACATATAAAGAATAAAAAGCAAGATTTGGAATGTCTTTTATGTGGTTGTTGGGTGTTGTTGACCAGAGATTTTGTCTATTATCTTAGATGAAGGTAGATAGTGATATTAATTATTGGAAATAAATTGGATCAAGTTAGCAAACTGTGGCAAGGCTTCCTAGAAACAGAAATATGGCAGAGAACATTAATCTAAATAATAACAGTGTCGAGTGCCTACCATGTGCCAGACGCATAGTAGTGCTATGCACAGCTCCTGAAGCTCGTTCTCAATGAGTATTAGGGTCAGCCTCAATAGAGCCCTCCGAGTTTCCATCTCCCGACTCAGAACTCACCAGCCTTATAATCCAAGTATAAATCTGGGCAGTTCTCATCAATAGGAGAGTTAACACTTTCTGAAGGTTCTGGGCCTTCAGTACCCCAAGGACCAAGGATGGTAATTAGGAGGTGTGAAGATTTGGGTAAATGAAGAGGGAATTGAGAGCAAGCTGATTGGCGGGATCACCCGCTTGACAAGCACCTGTAAGAATGTTTCACCAAAGTTTCGAACATCCCTCCACCCAGTCAAGTTGACAGATAAAATTAACAATCTTAAAGAAACAATTCACTGGTCAAACCACCTCATCTCTTGGCTTCCTTCTTATGTTTCCTCTTACATCACCTCTCCCAGGGTGCGTGCCAGGGTAACGCTGAATTTGACATCACCGTCTCTTTTTCTCACTTCATCCATTTCATCTAGAAGCTCCTGATGTCAGTCATTGAAGTCCTCTGCAGTTACCCTTAAAAACCTTCCTCTCCCGCACCCTTTGCCCATCACAAAGGCATTTCAGGTTCTGGGAGTTCAGAGGGGCTGGGAAATTGAACAAGTATGTACACAACTGGTTTGATCCTGTTGTAAACCTAGCAGACTACAAAGCCTTGTGACACTGCGAAGAGTTTACGTAGAGCTATGTTTCCCAACACAGGAACTGCCAGCCACAGGTGGCGGCTGACCATCTGAAGTGCGGCACGCTACTGCTTCTAGTGTAAGGACAGTATTTCAGGCTTACTGGATTATATAAATATAAATGCAAACTTACTCTTTCCTGTGGCATTTTAAAGGAGTGGGTGGCACTGTATTCCTAGTGGGCAAAGCTGAGCAACAGAGTACAGACAGGGAAGCAACTGTTGGCTTTGGAAGAACAGTGTCATACCCAGACCGCATTTAGAACTGCACAGAAGGCTGGCATCGATGTGGGGGACAGGGTCAGCCTGTGAACAAGGAAGGCAGTTACAAAGCTACTGCAGTGACCCAGAAAACAGTGGTTACCATATAATAGCACAGAGTTTATATTTCTATCTTATAAAATTTACATTTGCAGCGTTAGTGACAGGAAAGAAAATACTGCTGAAAGAAAACACACTAAGCTATCAAACTATGTGCATGTGTAAAAGTTTGCCTTAGAAAACAAACACTCAGCCTTGAACAGGTGTGTGCATTCCCAATGAACTATTGCTTCTGTACTCACTCTCGGGGTCAATTCTAGACTAACACAGCCTCCCATCTGTCCATATGAGAATAGGTCAGTGGTCACTGGGAAAATTTTGAGCCTCTAGATTAAGGCTCTGCAACCTTCCCACTCTATCCTGGGAAGATTTTTTTAAACTCTCTGATTCCCATGGCCTTCATCAAAACAAAACAAAATCACAAAAACCGGCCAGGCCTCCCACAGATTTGGAGTTGAATTAGAAGAAAATCTGACAAACCGTGGAAACCTACTAATGCTGAAAACTTTGGGTGTTTGTCTGTGTAATAGCAGAGTATATATTGTCAATTCCTCACTGTGTCTGGGCAACTAGAACCTTCACATATGGCAAGAGAGTGGTTAGTAAGGTACAAAATACTAACCACCCCAGTATTCACAGAATTGTCTTGGTAATCCTAAGCCATCATGCCTTCCTTCCCATCAACAGCCTTGGCCATGGCAGAGCTAGATAAGAGGGGCTCAGGACAGGCTCTCTGAAGGCTGGGTCAGTGAGACCCAGGTTGGCTCCTAGGCTGTTTTCTGGCTACACAGGTGTCTCAAGGCCTTTCTGTCCCTCACCTGAAGTCTGGTGTCACAAAGCTGCCAGGACCAGGGTGTTACATAAGGGAAGCCTCACCTTGTCTGCAAACAGAGCTCTTTGATTATAAACCTGCAGTCCTGTGTTTTTACATTAGATCATCTAAGGTTTCTGGGTCAAAGTTGAGCCTAGGTTAGATATGCTCTAAGTGTGGGTACCTGGAAGTGTTTTCAGTGGGAACCAATGGCAGCTTCCATGTCTGCACTGCTCAAGGCTGACCTCTCAACCTGAGATCTGGGCATGAGGAAGAACATGGAAGGCTGGTGCACAGTGGATTCCTTGTGGTAGCACCGGTCCCCACTCGCGCGAAGAGTGTGCCCACGTGCAGAGTTTTGCACTCTCTCAATATCGCGTTAGTTGCACCTAGGGGACCAGGCCAAAAAAAAAAAAAAAAAAGCTGTTTTTGACTAAACCCTGAGGTATACATAGCCCCAGGGTGTCTAGGAAGCAATGCTTCTCATCAGGAATTTAATAAAAATAAATAAATACTAAGCTCTACTATATTGGGCATGAGACTTAAGCAAATATATTTTTGTAATTTAGGAGGTTGTAAGAAAGTGATAAAAACAAAAAAACAAGAAAAATTAGTGTTTGAGAAGGCAAACACTCAAGTTTGCCATTCAAACCCCATGTTCAAACACTCATACCAGAATCAAATGTTTTCACCTGAACAAGTCATGGAGTTACAGTAAATGTGTGCATTGAAGCAATCTTGGGGCTGGGGTCATGTCTCAGTTGGTAGTGCCTGTCTAGCATGTGTGAAGCCCCGTGTCTCATCTCCAGCAGTATGTAAACTGGTGTGATGGTGCATGTCTGCAGTCTCAGAATTTGGGTGATGGAGGCATAACGGTCAGAACTTCGAGATCATAAATGGCTACGTAGTGAGTTTGAAGCCGGCCTGCGATACGTGAGGCTCAGTAGTTATGCACACCTGCTCCGCTGTTACCACCACCCACATGGTAGCTTACAACTGCATAGAACTCCAGTTCCAGGGGATCCACCGCAGGCATGTGGTGTACACACATCAGAGAAGTTGGGGAATGAAGCTTGGTCCTAGACCTTGGGGGAAGATGCTAACAGTATCCATCACAGAAGCAGAGGCAGAACCCCAGGAAGCATGTGAGTGGTCTGAACACAGCAATCGCACATTTCATCACTCAGCTAAGGGTGCGGCAGGAGGGGAGTTTGGGTAAATCATTCTGGCAGGGCTGATGGAATAGAGAGTGCATCAGGCCCCACCCCTGTGGTCAGTACTTCTAGACTTGGGAAACGATTTCTAAAATCTGAAACTATTTCAGTTTACAAAATAGTTCCCCCATTGACTCCATGTTTCAAAATTCGGTGATTCAGGATCCTAATTTAGTGGGATGAACAAAATAAGGGTCCCCAAACAATGAGACACATACCTGAGATGCCAGTTCAGACATGTGTGAATTACTTGGTAAGCAGAATATAAATGACTCGATAGTGCAGGGTGAAGACGGGCTCGTGGAATATTACTGTAGCAGGAATACAGCATTGCCAGGAGTAAATAATGTAGGCGTTCAAAATTTTAGCTCTCTCTCCCTTCTCCCCTCCCCCTCTTCCCCCCCTCGCCTCCCCTCTCCTTCCTTCGCTCTCTCTCTCTCTCTCTCTCTCTCTCTCTCTCTCTCTCTCTCTCTCTCGCCTTTTCTGCAACACTAACCAACCCCAGTTGTGTGTCATGGAACACTGTGCTTTCAGGACAATTTCACTGACTGTATTTACCCAAGTTGAATTTTTTTTTCTACTTTATTCATAATTTCATCTGATGGTAAAGACTCGTACACCTCTCCCTCCTCCTCATTTTCTTCTTTATTTTTTTCCTTTTCTTTTTAATTTTACTACTATCGTTATTGTGGGAGGCAGAGGGCAGCTTTGGGTAGTTGGTTCCTTCCTTCTGCCATGTGGTGTCTGGGGATCCAATTCACATCAAGATTGCACAACATCACCTTTATTCCCTGAGCCTCCTTGGCTGCCCTTGTTTATGTTTTGAAACAGTACTCATGTGTGTGTGTTGGGGGTTGCAGGTGTGCACATGATATGTACCCCCTGGTTATTCTTGAGTTGGCAGTGTGGACTTGGGACATAAATCACCCCCATTCTACTTTTATTTCATCGACACGCTCTTGGAGGCTTTTATTTTCCTGTTTCACTGTTCTGGGGAAGCCAGGGTCCCTCTGAGGCTGCAGGAGCTGAGTGGTTGACAGAGTTGGTCTTCAGGACAGCTGTTGTCAAACATAAAGAGTTCACATGTCCCCGGCTAAGCAGAGAATGGTGAGCGAAGGAAGGGAGCAAATCAAGAAGGAGCTTTCACTGGGGCAGCGAAAAGACGCGGTACACAGCATGATGGTCAAGAACATTCCATATCTAGCACTTTCGCATCTTCCCACGGGCGCCTTGGAACACAACCTATTCTACCAACCTGGGCTTATCTGCGATTAAAATTAGAAGTATGTCCTTGGAGCCAACCCCTTCCCTGCCACTTTTCCCTGACACGGCTTGGGAAGATAAGGCTCTCCTATAAAAACACATCTCAGGGTTCCCTTGTTGTCCGTAGAATCTGACGGATCCGCCACGGTGAGTCAGGAACACGGTTTTGGGGCTGATTTTGTAGATTGCTCCCATTTCCTCCCAAGTCTGAGTGAATGTGATTATGTTAATCTTTGGAAACCCGGGTTCTTCAGACTCAGCCATGTTTTTACTTCTGTGCAGATGCTGCCGCTGTGGACATTTGCAGTGCTGCTGGGAGCAGTAGCTGGTAAGACGGGATGGGTGCGGAGTCTCTGTGTGGTTTTTCCTGGAAGCGGTGACAGCCGGGTTCCAGTCTTCATGAGGATGAGGACTTAGTTAACAGAAATGTAGGGTTAAGGAAGACTAGGAATAAACTGAGTTTAGCATGGGGCTAAGAGCACCAAACTTGGGGGTAATGTGGGGTACAATTCCCAATGCTCGTTTCTATTTGTTTTCAGACAAGTAATAGTGAAGGCGAATCCCACGTGACATTGCACTAAAAATGCACTGTTAATCCGATCTTCCAGTTTAACTGGAATATTGATTTCCTGTACCTGGTCCCTCTGTCTCCAAGTTCATCATCTCCTGCTCTACAGCCCTGAGAAAAACTCTGAAGCTCTCCCCACTTCAGGATACCTGTGCTTGAAATGGGTGTGGTGGCATCCTTCCTGTGGGATGACTGTGAGGCTTCAGTCAGAGTAAATCATCAAATTCAGCATCCGGTGTATAGTAAAATACAGAGAAAGGCCATGCTACTCTAACTCTCCCATTAACCTTGGCTCAGCACTGCCCCAGAACTCTTCTTTGAGTTGTCCCTTCAAGGAGTAGCATGCCAGGCAACAACTGTCAAATCACTGGTGTTTTCTATGTTTGTGAGTACATTCTGCATCACAGAAATTCAGGATGGTCCTCAAACGCAAGTCAGCCAAGGTGAAGCCTTGCCTATGTATAACTTAAAAGTCTTCACCCAAAGCATGAGCATAAAAGGTAGCTAGCTACTCAGGGTTGAGAGGCTCCACAAACAGTTCCTGGGACAAAGGGCCACCCCATGTCTAGGTGCCAATGATTAAAAGTAACATCTGGGTCAAGTAGCTAACGTAAGTCCTTGCCTGATACTGAGCAGATGTCGTGTCGGAGGCAGGAGTGAGGGATAGCAAGGTTTAATAAATGTCTCTGAAACGTTTGCGGGTGGTTTCAGGAGAGGAGGTCTGCTACGACAGACTTGGCTGCTTCAGTGGTGATGCTCCGTGGTCAGGAACTTTAGACAGACCCCTGAAAGCATTGCCCTGGAGTCCGTCCAAGATCAACACCCGCTTTCTCCTGTACACCAACGAGAACCCAAACAACTACCAGGTAGGGACATATCGTTTCCGGGACTGAGCGTCGCGTGCTTTATGAGATTACTATGAATGTTTGAGCCTTCCAACCAGAATACAGGAAAGGGGGATTTGTGTCTTTTAACTTTTAGAGCACAGTGAGCATTCTATAAAAACTTAATTTATAGATGGTTGTTCAATTCTTATCATCTATGTCCCATCTCCAGTGAGTGTATCCTCTAAAAATATGATGCATGCAGGGGTAGAATAATTATACATTTATTTAATATGCACATTGATGAATATTATCATAAAGAATATGTTATATGTATTTTAAATAGGAATCCTTAATATAGTACACACACACACACACACACACACACACACACACACACACACACACACAAGGAATCCGCTAAAGATGGTTCGAGTTAGCAGGATTTGGTTGGAAATTGATAGGTCTTCAGTAGAAGCTTCTGGGCTATGTGCTGAACTATAGGCACGGGAAGGTCAGCTGTGAACCATGGCTTCCGGTTCTGACAGCTCCACGTGTAGTGATGCAATGATAGAACAGGCGAGGTATTTACAACACATTTCCAACGTATAATACTTAGCAGCCAGGTATGGTAGCAACTTCAATCCTAGCACTTGAGAGGTAGAGACTGGTTGAGGGGTTCAAGACAATCCTCTGCTGCTTTGTGAGTTGAAGCCACTTGGTCTACATGAGACCCTGCCAAAAATAAATTATAATATTTTCAACTTACACTGGATTTATTGAGCAATAGCTGGAGGAATATTAGAATGTGTGCACACCTCCTTGCGCTGCATAGATAATAAACATAAAATAAACATACTTAGGCAGGCATATGTAGAAAGACATCCATCCACTACCCTGTGGGAGACATTGTCTGAGTCAGCTAAATGAGGGCAGCAGCAACTCGGGGGTGACTGTGAACGGCTTGCCTATGTGGGACTTCCAGAATCCTACCCACCGTCTCCATCCACACATGAATGATCCTAGAAGAAACTTGCCCCAACAGACTTTTCTATCCCAAACAGCAAATCACTGCAGACGCATCCAGTGTCAGGAGCTCCAATTTCAAAACAAACAGAAAAACCCGTTTTATTATCCATGGCTTCATCGACAAGGGAGAAGAAAACTGGCTGTCTGACATGTGCAGGGTGAGTCATGATACTTTCCTAAGGAAGTATGTTAGAGACCAGTAGGACACTGGCCCTAACTAAGAGGGACAAATGCTGGTCACCATCACACTGGAGTCTGAGACAGCCTGAGCCTGGGCCTGGGGACAGGGCAGGGGTGGAGGAGACAGTGGTGGGTACCAGCGTTTGAGACAGTTGGGATATGAGGTATTAGAGGTGGGTAGCAGATCCAGCGCGTAGTTCTTCAGTAACTAATGCAGAGGTATTTCAGACTTTTAACAAGAGACGCTGCCATGCAGAGACATTCCAGTTACGTACAATGTTTTTCTCTATATCAAATGTCTATGTATCCGCTACAGCAGAAATCCCAAGAATCCAGCTCCCACATGGGACCACGCCTGGTCCGGAGCCAGTGTTGGGCTTGAGGAAGGACTCCATACTCATTAAAGACTAGGGTTCTGGTCATAGCTTTGGGCTTAAAATCGCAGCAATTATGCAGGTCACGATGGGAATTTAGCAAGTATTCACCTACGTTAATCAATAGTGAGAAGAGAACCTGGGTTATTTAACACTAACTGTGTCTTCTGTGTCAGAACATGTTCCGAGTGGAGAGCGTGAACTGCATCTGTGTGGACTGGAAAGGCGGCTCCCGAGCGACATACACCCAGGCCACACAGAACGTGCGGGTTGTCGGGGCAGAAGTGGCATATTTGGCTAACTTTCTTCAGGTAACTGACCTTGGGCTATGTAAAAGCTCTTAGATATTGCTGTCTGGATTCTCCTTCCTTAACAACATCAGTAGGTATGATAATTTCTAAGGACAAATTTAAACAAGATAATACTCCTTCTTTGGTTAAAGATGAACCTCCCCCCCCCATCTCCATTCAGGCTTTATCAATAACCTACTTAATTCAATAATTCGTTTTTATTTTTGATTAAATGAACTTAAGAAGCCAGGTAGGTGATGCCACTTGAATTCTGTCAGTATTTTTAGTTTGGTTTAGTTCTGGGCATGGACCCTGGGCTGCTTATATTAAGCGGCCACTCATCTGAGGAATTATAGCACCAAACTGTCAGGATTTATTCTTACTTTGCCCTTCATTATCAATTTGATATGCCAAGATCAGCCACGAACCTATGGATTTTTTTTTTTGATTGATTGGTGTGTGTGTGTGTGTGTGTCTTTGTGGTGTATATGATCATGTGTGTATGCCTACATGTTTGTCATATGTGTAAGGAATGTGTCCTTGGATTGCCATACACTCTATTATTTGAAGCTATCTCTCCCTGAGCCTGGAACTCATCCGTTTGCTACACTAGAAGGGTTGAGTTCCAAGGACTTGCCTGTCTCTACCTCTCTAGCACAAGGAATACAGGCATCCATTTTTTACACGGATGTTGGGGATCCTAATTTGGGACCTTGTGTTTCACTGACTGAGCCATATCCCCAGTGTTCACTTATTTTATTGAACAAAAGAACAATGGCCAGGTCATAGGAAAGTCTTTATAAAAAAATGTCAAACTCAAATGTGCTTCAGTAATGAATTTCTGATCCAAGTACTAGCGTCACCATCTCTGATTATGACTCACGTGTCCTTCAGGGGTTTTCTCTCAGCCGTGGGAGAACACACTAGCATTCTAGACCTCCTTGAGCTCATGTCCTTCTCATGATTGGGGAGGGGGTGCTCTGCATGGGGGAAGGCATGGCGTCTTCTTAGAAACCGATTTGGAAGCACGCCCTTTTTGAACACCTGGCATTTTGTATTACTTGCAAACGTTTTAATGAAGCTTTTCCCCTCAACAGTCTGAACTGGGATATTCACTTAACAACGTCCACCTCATTGGCCACAGTCTGGGCTCCCACATCGCTGGGGAGGCCGGAAAGAGAACATTTGGTGCCATGGGGAGAATTACCGGTGAGTCCAACAACAGAGGCTAGGTGGTCAGACTGACCGTATGCACTCTCTGTGGGGGCCTCAGGGAGACACAGGAGAGGACTTTGCTGGGTCTGCTCTGAACCTTTTACACTTTTCTGCATTGTACCAGGTGATCAGAGTTCAGCCCACTGTGACCCTGCTGGGCCGTTTCCTAGCTTTCAATCTTTTGTCCTCGACACATTGTGTAATACTTAAATATGTTGCATGCAACTAATACGTGAATTAAGAACATCCAGAAACACTATGCCTACTTTCTTTAGATATTCACAAAATTAGTTTCTTTAATAGATATCATAAATAACAGTCAGTAGCCTTAAATCCAAAGAGTTTGTATGTAATCAATTGAACTCTATTTTAACGCTAGTGGATGACAAACCTCAGTCTACTACAACCCTATTGCTGGCCAGGCTGTCTGAACTTCCAGTTCTGGGTCCTCTAATTAGATTCCAAGTGACATTTGCAAGTACAAGCTGGGCTATATTAGGCCAGTGGGCCACAGGCTCAGGCAAATGGATAGGGAAGATATTCCTGTCCTGATCTGAGACATGGCTACTTTAGGGAACAACCAGTTTCCTGCTCTTTCTTCCAACTTTCTGTGCTGTTTATCGAACTTGGATCAACGGGAGCATCTAGGGTCTTCGTTGGTCCATTTAAAAGGTGTTCTTCCAGAACATTCCCCATAGTTTACAATTGGTTACAACAGTCTTCTCTGCCAGGGGCTATTCCAAGCAGATCATGGACTCAATCACAGAGAGCCCTAGCATTCCTGGAAGAATCTGGTGGAAATTGTTAGCCTTAGGAACCTTTAGTTCAGTGACTCCTGGAGCCAGCCATTTGATGGGAATGGCTGCTTATTGGGTGTGGAAATCGGAATGCTTGGCTAGTAAGATGAAGTGGAGTTTATTAGGAGAAAATAACTCACACAGGAAATGAGTGAGGGTCATGGGCTACCGCCCCAAGCATGCAGACCCTGCCACCCCGATGGATGCTCTCTGAGAGCCAAAGAAGGGGCTTCTGAGTCCCAGTTCAATCCTTTCAACCAGTCAGATCTGCACCTGTGACCACACCCAAACAAGTATGGTCAGCAATGCAGGTGCGGGTGTGTGCGTGTGTGTGTGCGTGTGTGTGTGTGAACATCTCACTATAGCTGCTAGTGAGCAGGGTTCATCAGGGAGCCAAACGTCCACCAGCAGAGGCAAATCCTGGTACAGCCAGGGACCGGTCACCTCTGTCCATGCACACCTCACCATGGCAGCCAGTACTCGATGGAGAGGGTGGCTTTGCCCATTGATGTAACTGAAGTAACTGATGATGCATCCTGTCTGCTCCAGGGTTGGACCCAGCTGAACCTTACTTCCAGGGTACCCCTGAAGAAGTCAGACTGGACCCCAGTGACGCTCAGTTTGTGGATGTGATTCACACAGACAGTGCCCCCATTGTCCCCAACTTAGGTGAGCTCCTCCCCCTGGAATTTTTTTAATCTTGGCATTAGAATGTTTGGCAGTGCCTTGAGCATGCCATCATAGAAACTTCATTATTTTTTTTTAAATTCTTCAGGATTTGGAATGAGCCAAACTGTGGGTCACCTAGATTTCTTTCCAAATGGAGGAGTAGAAATGCCAGGGTGCCAGAAGAATGCTCTTTCCCAAATTGTTGACATCGATGGAATCTGGGAAGGTAAAAACCATTGGGCACACAAAGATTTTCATGGTGAAAATTTGTGTTTCTCATTGTTAAACTTGCTATTTCTTTGGAATTGCACACAGATCTCCTGTGTTTTATACCAAAGGGCCTTCTGTTGTGTCCTTAAGACATGAGTTCCACTGCGACAAGTTTCAGGGGAAACTCAAGCAGAGATTGTATCTGCACCCCAACTTTTTCCTTTCTTTATGTCCGTATGGACCAGACTTCCCCCCTTCTTACATTGCTTTTCCATTTTCTTAATAACTCTCAAGATTCTAAGTGTTTAATTGCTTATCTCACATCCTACATACACTTCACAAGTGTCCCGTGCTGAGACCTCCATGAGTTTGCCCTGACTAGATCACTTGCTTGTTAGCTCCGTGTTCTCATCATAACGTGACTTGTAGAAGTAGAATCTGACACTAATGTCACTCTGCAGGAAGCCGTAACTTTGCTGCCTGTAACCACCTGAGAAGCTACAAGTATTACTCTGACAGTATCGTCAACCCAACCGGCTTCGCTGGATTCTCCTGTAGCTCCTACAGCGTTTTTGCTGCCGTGAGTAGCGTCTTTCTTCCCTGCGGATTGCATTTAATGTTTAGGGTTTTTTGTTTTGCTTCCCCTCATTATTGGAAATCTGGCCGTGCATGTGCCAAGCTCACACTTGGCTCTGTGCTGTGTCTCTGGACCCCTGTTTGAATTCGTGCCTGATTCTCTTTATAGGTATGACTCACTGTGATGATGTCATTCACTGACCTGACCGTTTATGGTTGTATATCTGTTATACTAACTCATGCTTACACATTTTAATAGCAGAAAAGCATCAAATCATTACAGGGATTTAGAACATTGGGTTTTCAGGTGGAAATGGCTAATGTAACATTTCTTTAAATTTCTCTGTCTCGGTAAATTTTCAAACTTATTGGGGGTGAGGGGAATCCTAAGCAAACAAAGCAAACATGTAAAATGCTGAACTGTAGCTATCTGAAAGCCAAATCTGGAGGACACTGATGACATTGGAGGATTTTTTAAATGCTGATCTTTAAACCATAGAACTAAGGGCATATAGATATGTCTTTGCAATCATACATTCATTAGTAGTTTTTAAGTTTTGTTACATATTATATCCAGGTTGATTTCTTCAGTGTATTCTTGACCATGACATTTCTATTGACTTAGGTTTTGGAAAGTTGACTTTTCCCTATAGCTGTTTTGTTTTTTTTTTAATTCAAAAAATTTTAACCACTACCACATAACAAAGAAAATTTAAAGTAATCAACATTCCATATGAGTCACAAGTACTAGAGAGATGTGCCTTAGTTATTAAGAACAAGGACTTGGATGAATTTGGGTGTTTCATTTCCCTGAGACTTTTTTCTTCATCTGGAACCCTGATGATGTCAGACCCAATGCCCTTGGTAAATCCATTGATCACATGTCAAGTTCTTGGCCCAGAACAACAAAAACTTAATAATCAAAATATGGGAGAGGGGTACATATTTTGTTCACATATAAGTTTTCGATACAGTAAAAACTGAACACCCCTCTTCCCAGTTTGATTTTAGCTTTATCTTCCTGTGTACAAATGAGCCAAAACTGTTTAGGTTCCATGCAACAAATGCAGTCTGATTCACCTGCATAAATGTTCGTTTGTAAGACACCCAGCACTTTTGTAAGGAAAATGGCCCAGTGTTCATGTTTCTCCACCTTTGGACCCTTGATATGCTTCCATTCAATCTGCTGATGGCCCAATTAAGTGTGTTCTTGGCAGATGGATGGTCCCCTGGCTCCTTCAGCGTCCAGGCCACATCTCTGTCTGTCTTATTGACGAGCACACTCTTCTTGGGAAATACCCTAGGAAGCCTAGTGCATTTACCCCACAGCTGTCCTAATCTCTCCTTAACTTGCTGAGACTCCTCCAGGCCTGCCAGCTAATCTCCTGATTGAGAAGCCCACCACAACTCCTCCCATGGAGCACTGTGCCCCCCAGAGTGGGGACTGGGCTGTTAGACCTCCTGACTCTGTCCTTCATACCCTTTTCACCATAACCCTGATGGGGAAGAACATTGACCCGTACCTGTCAGCTGCCTGGCTGAGTCTGAAGGGCCAACTGGATCACTGTCTCTCCACACTGGGAGACTTGGGTTCTGAGCACGTGAACGTGCCCACACACGTGAAGGGACAGGAGAAGGTGTTGTGCCCAGCACACACTATCATTTCTTATCCATTCTTATGCTATCTTTCTACAATACATTCTAATCGCCTAGCAAGAGAGTGACTCTCTTAGAACAAATAAAGTTCCAGAGGCAAAGGGGGGAACAAATACACATATACCAACTATCCTATGGTGTGGCTTTTATATTTTTGTATACTGTAATAATGACATTGGAGGCTTATGGAGAACGACATGTACTAGTAACTATCACCGAGACACTGACACTGCCCAGCTATTGCCCTCAGGGACAGAATTAACTTTGACTCAATTACAAAACATGTAGGAAAATGGGTGCCCTAATGAAAGTCAGGACATTGTTAGTCATCGTTTCCTTGGTTTTACAGGACAAGTGCTTCCCATGCCCAAGTGGAGGGTGCCCACAGATGGGTCACTACGCCGACCAATATCCTGGGAAGACAAAATCAAAGTTCCAGAAGTTTTATCTGAACACTGGCGACAAGAGTAACTTTGCACGTAAGTTTCTAATTGTATTAATAATTTTCAGTTCCGTTTTCCTTTGGGGGAGGTGTGAATAGAGTCTGACACATGCCAGTAAAGTGCTCTATCAATAATATACACCCCCCCCAGCCAAAAATTTAAATAGGATAAACTTCTTAGACTCTTGGATTGAAGAACAAAATGAAACCAAACCCCTCGATCATCAGCTCTATAAAAGTCCTCCACATCCACACCCCCTGACGCCTGGCCCAAACACTGTGATATTTCGCCCGGGAACTGCACACAGCATGATAGATTATTCGGATCCTTTGGTTGCTGGGTGTGTGTTAACCTGTCGCCGGTACCTCTTCTCCCCAAGCTGACAGTGTGCAAACGTTGCCTCCTGTACAGGTTGGCGGTATCAGGTGTCTGTCACCCTGTCTGGTCAGAAGGTTACTGGACACATTCTAGTTTCTTTGTTTGGAAATAGAGGAAATTCTAAACAGTATGAAGTTTTCAAGTAAGTAGAATGTCTAAAATATCACTCGGTGCTTCTTAAATTTTGGCATTTTATGAATGTCTCATGTACATCGTTGATTTTTTTTCTGTATGTACGTAGCAAATAATCACATATAGCAAAAAGAAAGCTGTCTTGTAGCCCTGCACATTAATACCTTTCAAAATTATATTTTTAATTTTTTCTGATATTTTCTGAGGGAACCACTCATGTTTATAATGACTAAATAATTATTCCCTACACACCAATTAAGATTTTTATGAAGACAGCGTCATTTATTAAACTGTGAGGGTCATGACAGAGACACATTTCAGTACATGTTAAAGAAAAGTTGACTAAAATAAATCTGAGTTACTGATAGGAAAACCTACCACTGCGTTCAAATACATGTGTGGATTTACTTCAGACATTTGAATGACAAATGTTTTATCAAACAACTTAGATCAATATGGAATGTGACCTGCTTTTAGAAACACACATCTATTTTTAATACATGCATGTATTTACACCTATGATTCATTCTGTGCATGTTTGTGTGGTAACATAATTTTTTGTTGGTATATTAACTTCTCAGGGGCTCTCTGCAACCTGGCACAACTCACGTCACTGAATTCGACTCTGATGTGGATGTCGGGGATATGCAAAAGGTTAAATTTATTTGGTATAACAACGTGATCAACCCAAGTCTACCCAGAGTGGGAGCATCAAAGATCACAGTGGAAAGAAATGATGGCAGAGTGTGAGTAATCCGAATCAAGACAATAAGAAAGGCTGGATGTACATATTCACACTAAAGTAGTTCACACCTCTCACAGGAGATCACAAATGTCCCTGCCACTTCTGCTTACTAAGACCTCCTGTGTCTTTAGGAGACAGCATCGAATGTTAGGAATGTCACTTTGATAGATTCCTAGACGGGGGAGAAGAAAGTTTCCTTTGGCAAATATGTGTGTGACTCATGTGTACATGACCCATCAAACTTCATGGGTTCACCAAGTTGCCATTTAGGTTGTCGGGAACTTGATAATTTATCAAGGAACAGGACAGATGGACACTGTCCTGTGGCACCAGTCTTCTTGGTGAAGCCTCAGGTTCAGAGGTCAGCTCTCTAGGCATACTGAAGAAGTTGCCATTTTGCTGATACTGGGTGGAATATTTAGTAAGATCCTGTTTCTTGCTAGATTCAACAAGGCTTGAAATGACTACGTCCTACCACACACTTAAATAAGATGGAAAATATTAAGGCAGTAACAAGATAAAAACCCAATACCTGACATTAACTCAAACATTCCAAGCTATACAAACAGTAGGACAATACAACCTATAATGAGGAAAATAATCAATGAATTAACATCCAGTTGAGTTGGTATGGGTATCAGAATAACAGATAAAGACATTGTTATAGTTATGAACACCCATTCAGCTTGTTCGAACACGTTCAGGAGAAGATGGCATTTATTGATGGCAATATTGAGGTGATAGGAGGGGGCATGTACAAGTATATCAGACGGCAATGGAGGGGTCATGGGATGTGTGTAAGTGTAGCATTTGATGATGGAGTGTGGGGAATGTACAGTGTGTGTGTGTGTGTGTGTGTGTGAGAGAGAGAGAGAGAGAGAGTGTGTGTGTGTGTGTAGCATTTGGTGATGAAGTATGGGGAGGGTATAATACTTCCCCTGCCCCCCCAATCCCCATCCTGCCCTTTTATGCTCCCCAGGGAGGCTGAGGCCTTCCATGGGGGATCTTCAAAGTCTGTCATATCATTTGGAGCAGGGCCCAGGCCTTCCCCCATGTGTCTAGGCTGAGAGAGTATCCCTCTATGTGGAATGGGCTCCCAAAATCCATTCATATACTTAGGATAAATACTGATCTGCTACCAGAGGCCCCATAGACTGGCCAGGCCTCCTCTAACTATATGCTGCATATATATGTATACATACATACATACATACATACATACATGAGAAATGGAAGGATGCTGTTGGAAGGCCCTGTGCCTGTGAATTAGTATACTGTCATTTGCAAATTTAATGTAGTAAGTTAGGAGCGTGTGTTACCAATCTCAAAGTAAGAGCTGTAAGAATGAAGAACTATAGTAAACAAATCAACAAAAAGTTATCAAATCTCAAACTGAGCATAAAGAGGCAAAGGGAACAGGAAACAAAACACAAAGAATGATGGTTGACTTACCCCTGACTAGAGCAGCAATTACATTAAATGAAAGCGGTCAAAACACCAATATTAGGAGACAGAGATCATCCCACTGGGTTTTTAGCATCAATACCCAATTAACTTGTGCTTATCTGAAATGTATTTTAAGTATATATCAAAAGGCAGACAAAGGAAAAGTTGTGCTATTACTCATTGGAGAAGTACACGCAACAATGAGCACCAATGTGAGTTTATTTAAATAGTTAAATTAAAAGAAAAAGAGAGAGAAAATTGTCAATACCAAGCATGTCTGAAGACAAGGGAGGTCTTAACTCTCAGGCACTGATCATGGCATGTGAAATGATGGAGCTTTTCTAGAAGGTAGTTTGATGACAACACCTTAAAAGCCGAACATACCTGCCATAACACCGTTAGCGTTAGCGTTCCTAACATTATCATGACGTCACTTCCCCCAGTTTCTGTTGCCAACAGTGGTCTGGGGTAATATGAGCACTTCTTCTTGTTGTTTGGGGGCAACAGACAGCTCCCCTGTAGACTAAGTTCTCAATCGGAGTGCAAGGTTGGGAGGTGACTCAGTCTCCTTCAACATCCCGGCATCTGATTGTGCCCTGCTGGAGCAGGGGTGTGGAGATGTATCAAGGGCCAGGCATGGCTGTCCTCATGCCCAGCTTTCCACTTGTGTGAGGGAGACGTAACCATTTCTGTGTTTTCCTCCCCCTCAGGTTCAACTTCTGTAGTCAAGAGACTGTGAGGGAAGACGTCCTGCTCACCCTCTCTGCCTGTTAGGGTTGCTGACATGTGACCACTGAGTCCCACTGTAATAAAATCTAGTATTGAAGCAGTACACCCTGTCTTCAGTGTTGTCTATTTCTCACGAAACTTCTGGATGAGATGATCAAACCTTAAATTCTCAATCCCTGCGAAGAGCCACAAATGCTGTGCGTTTGGGTTTGGGAATATCACTTAAATGACAATGCCAGCATGTCCTCTGTTAATATTATTAATGTGGTTTTGAGCATTCGAGGCAGAGCTCCAGGCTCGAAGGATCTCCCTCTTGGTAGTGCTGCGATGGCAGGGGTATATTTGGCCGCTTCATCCATGACTCTGGCCAGACATCTCGGGATGACGGGACAGCTGGAGGTGAGGATGGGACTCTGAGGCGTGTCTGAGCTTTTCTACGGTCTTGCTTCTCTGACTGTGGGGGATTATTTTTCTTAATTAAATCATTTGAAGTGGGAAGAGCTACTTCTAATCCAGATCTTTGAGGGGGGAAGATAAACCTTTAATCTGGATCTTTGGAGGTGTGAAAATCCACCTTTAATCTGGGCTGCTGGCAGCACATATAAAGGACATGGAAGGAGGAAACGCTCTTTTGCTTGTTTTTTCTTGCCCTCGCTAGCAAGTGCATTCCTTTGTGGGCTCCAGACCTCACTTCTTGGGGATTCTAGAACATACTGAAGACTACCTGAGACTTCTAGCCTTGTAAACAGAACAAAGGCTGAATTCTTGAGCCTTCCGTCCATAGGCAGGCATTGTTGAGCTATATGTCAATCTTGTTGGAATAGGCTTTCCAGTTTGCCAACACCTACGTGATGACGGGAGCCTCCCCAGGGGCTTGGAAAGTACTGGGAGGTCGTGGTGTGAATGCTTTGCACACTAAGGAGACAGGTGATTGCCCTGATTCACCCATTGTGAGAATATGGCAGGGAGGGAGCAATAATGAATTCAGTGATAAAGACTGACAGCTCCAGATGCACACAGACAGTCCAAGGGTTTCTAAGTGTGCAGGGTGTTGGCAGCTACAGTACGGGCATTGATTAGTAAAAAGTGGGATCCTGAAATCTGGGGAGGGGGCCTGTGTGGGAGGACCTACTGAAGCTGAGAACTTTGAACCCTCGGATTCTCAAGGCTCTGCCTTGCCTGAGGAGACTGCCCCTCCTTCCTCCCCATCCCCTGAAATAGTGTTCCTTTTTGCCTCTGATTGAGCAAATTGGCCCTTCATTATCTGCTATACCAGCAGTAACTGTCTCTGAAGGGGATGATTCAGAGCCTACCGGTATTGGGCTCTTGACCTGTAACCAGAATTAAAGCTAAGCAGACCCCCACTAGAGGGGAGGCTGAGAAGTTAGGGGGCATGCGACACCGCCACTATGGAGCTTAATAGGTTTGCAAATTCATTCGAGCAGAAGCCTGGAGCGGATTTTAAGGGTGTGGGATAATGGTGGAAGGAACATAAAACTGAATACGGCTGGCTTCATGGATGTGGGCCCTTTGAGTGGAGATTCTAGGCTTAATGTGGAAGCTCTCACAGTTGGTTTTTTTTAAGTGTCAAAAGTTTGCATGGTTGGCTGAAGCGTTCATCCAAAAAGGCCTAGGGTAAAGGCATAACAGAGATCACTATGGAGTTGTCCTAAGCTGGAAAGTTTAAGTCTTGTGTCTAATATTTCTATGTAGGAAGGGACAGCAATGACTGAGACAGTCTATCTTCAACCTCATCAGAGACCTGAGAAGGAAGATAACAATACTAGGTAGAGACAGAAAGAGATATGGCTGCTGGGTAGGGAGAGAGAGAGACAGAGAGACAGAGAGACAGAGAGAGAGAGAGAGAGAGAGAGAGAGAGCTCAGTCTGAAGCCGTCTGAGAAGGCAATCTGAGACCAGGATAGCCCCCTCCGTCGGGGATAGAGGTAAGAGATGGTGGCTGGCTACTTTGCTCCAAGTTTTTTCTTATTAAGTCCGATTAGAATTCAGGCTACAGATTGCAGCTTCCTAACAGGCAGCCCATATTGGCCTGACCCATAATGGTCAGCACAGGCAAAGTGAGTTTTGTGGTGGCTCGACTCGCATGGGCCTTTAATACTGGCTAATCAATCACAGTGTTTCCAGGCGTGAAATAGTTGAGAAGCCTACTGCATTTCTGTTATATCTGTATAAGCGGAAACATTCTCGAACCATTGAAGAAAGGCTACAATCGATCATGGCAAAAGGCAATGTTGGCCTGTGAACCGATTTTCAGACCTGAGCTAGTTTGCAGACCCAGAAGCCAGCCCCTGAATGAGTGAAGGAATGTCATGTTCCCTGAGGATGGCCATTGATAAAATAGTTTAACGTTTTAGTGTTAGCTTTTCTCCAGTCCTTCCCTGGGGGAATGTATGACCCTGTACAAGGGCAGCTGTACTCCGCGGGAAAGGCAAGGTTCAGATTTGCTGGGTGCTGATTCTGGGAAACCACAAAGTCATTGTGGACCAACAGTTAAAGTAGGGGTGGTGCTGATTCTGGGAAATAACCCCCCCAAAGCATTGTGGACCCTATAGAGGTCAGGTAATTCATGCAGTTTTGACTACAGTCTGACTTACAGAATGTCCAGTGGGTTCCCGAACTCATCCTGTGGTTATCTCTCGTCCTACAATGTCTAATTGGGATAGATAAAAGTTGATAAATTCTCACATTGGTTCCCTGAACTGTGGAGTGAGGGCCGTTAGGGTTAGAAAGGCTAAATAAAATAATTTAAAGTTTCCTCTCTCAAGCAAAATAGCAAATCAAGCCAGCATCTCATCCCCTGGAGGAACTGCAGAAATTTACAGCACAGAGGACTTGAAAATTGTGTGTGTGTGTGTGTGTGTGTGTGTGCGAGGTGGGGTGGGGTGGTGAGGTGGGGGATTCCCAGCACACCGTCCTTTAATTCTCCTATGTGGCCAGTGAAGAAGACAGGTAGGTCATGGAGAATGACATTTGACTATCATAAACTCAATTACGTCGTGACTCTGACTGAAGCTGCTGTACCCGATGTGGTGTCTGTGCATGAGCAGATTAACGCACCTCCTAGCAAATACCTTTCTCTCAATACCTGTGCACAAAGCCCATCATAAGCAATTTGCCCCCAGGTAGTAAGGACAACAGTGTTTGCTTCTACAGTTTTACCTCCAGGATAAATTATCTCTCCAGCCCGGTGTCATAACTCATTTGGAAGGGATCTTGATCATCTGTCTATCTGTCTCTCCCACAAAACATCACATTGGTTCCCTATATCGATGACACTTTGCTGATTGGAACAGAGAAGTAGGAGGGGTAGCAAACACTTTGAACTTGTTGGCAACCCGTACGCGCATCAGAGGAGGGGAAATAATTTCAACCAAAACTCAAGGGCATTGTACCTCAGTGGAACCCTGAGGAGTCTGCTGTAGAATATTATTTTGACTATGTAAAGGTGATGTTTGTGCTGCATTTGTTTAGTTACGAAAAGATGTGTTGCCTTTGGTTCACCTTGCCTGCTTAAGTCACCTGAGCAGGCAATAGTTAAGCAGGAGAAAGGATGGTCAGGGTTGATAGGCAGAGAAGACAAATAGGAGGAGAAATCTAGACTCAAGAGGAGAATGAGGGAAGGGGGAAGAGGAGAGAGAGACCCAGAGAGACGCCTGGAGCCGGAAGCCAGGCAGCCACAGACAGCAGACATGAGACGCAGTGAAACACGCAGAAGGAAGTAAAAGTAAAAAGCCCCGGGCAAAAGGTAGATTAGAGAAGCAGGTTAGTGTAAGTTTTAAAGGCTGGCCAGAAATGAACCTAAGCTAAGGCTGAGTATTCAAAACTAATTATAAGTCTCCGTGTCACGATTCGGGAGCTGGTTGGCAGTCTGACAAAGCCCGCTACGGGATTCCAGCGGTGTGGAGCGTGCAGAGATGTTCTAACCGGGTGAAGGGTAAGTTATTGTACCTGGGCCCTCCTATCACCAAGAGTTAACCACCACCACAGTGTTAACGGGTCTATTTGGATTCTCACTTGGGTGTGTTACTTGGCCCCGTATACCAAATGACCTGGAATAGGAGAAGGCTCTTCCACGGGTCCAAGCTGCTGTGCAGGTTGCCCTTCTGCCATACCATCCAGCAGACCTGTTAGTATTGAGTGGCTTGAGGTGTCAGTGGCAGAAAGGGATGCTGTTTGGAGCCTTTGGCAGCCCCTATCGATGAATCACAAAAGAGACCTTTGGGATTTGGGATCAAGGCTCTACCATCATATACAGGCAACTGTTCTCCCTTTGAAGACAGCTCTTGGCCTGCTATTCAGTCCTAATGGAATCTGAGCTTTGACAATGGGCTAAATTGCCATGTGACCTGAGTTGCCAGTCACACTCTGGGTGTTATCAGACCCACCAAGTCGCAAAATAGAATGTGCACAGCATCAACCTATCATCAAATAATAGTGGTATATAAGAGACCAGGCTCAAACAGGTCTTGAAGGCACAAACAAGCTACATAAAGAATGCCTATGGTTTCTATTCCTGTTACAATGCCATCTGCTGCCAAGCATACACCTACAGCCTCGTGATCTGTGACAGGTTAACTGGGAAAGAGAAGACTAGGGCCTGATTTACAGATGGTTCCACATGTTATGCAGGCACCACCCAGGAGTGGACGGCTGAAGCATTAAACCCCTTTATGGGACCACCCAGTAAAGAGAAGGTTAAGGGAAATATTCACAGTGGGCAGAATTTGGGGCGGTACAGAGGGTCATACATTATGTTTGAAAGGAGAAATTGCCAGATGTGTGATTGCTCAATGATTCATTTCTTCTTTATTTTCTTTTTTCTTCTTTTTCTTTTCTTTTTTTCTTTTTCTGAGACAGGGTTTCTCTGTAGCTTTGGAGTCTGTACTGGAACTAGCTCTGTAGATCGGGCTGGCCTCGAACTCACAGAGATCAGCCTGACTCTGCCTCTGGAGTGCTGGGATTAAGGGCAGGCGCCACCACCGCCCAGCGTCAAAGATTAATTTCTGCAGCCAATGGACTGAGTGGATGGTCACGGACTTGGAAAGATCATGGCTGAAAAACTGGTGAGAAAAACATTCGT